GTGACCCTTGAACATCCACAATCTCTGCAGCACTGGGAAATACTTTTTTCTAGGTGTGGATTTTGGAATCCACAGAAGAGAACCAGACATTTTTAAGCATGGTTTTGTTATATCTAATGAGGCCGTAAGCCCTCACTCAAGAGCTGTGGGTTAAAGACTGGAAGGAGCCTTTCCACAGCTTTACAAGCACATCCCAGATCATGCTTGACCTGCATCACGCACATGGTGACAAAGCCTAGCTTTTTTTTCCCCACACAATGTCCCAGCCCTTCTGCAGGGCACAGAGCCACATCCAGGAAAGGCACGAATACATCTCACTGCTGTAATAAATCACACCTCCCTAGTTTTAGGAGCATATGCATCAGATGCTGCTATTTATTAGGCTGATTATCTGTAGCTGTTGTAGGTTTAATATATTGAGTATACGCTTATATATTTACATTATACTTTCTTTTGGCTATTACACTGCAGTCAAAACACCAGTGAGAAAATATGAACTGTTGTCTTATGATTCTTCCTAAACAGACGTAAATCAGTGTCTTTACAACCCGGGCCAGGATAAAAATTTAAATACCTTGGTAATTAAATTTTACAAGAATGTTACAATACACTGTCTCTTGTGTTTGGGTTTTGTTGTTTGGGGTTTTTTGTTTTGTTTGTTTGTTTGGTTGGTGTTTTGTTTGTTTTGTTTTGCTTTTTTTTCCTGAGAAAACATTAAATACTAAGAGGAAAGAGAGATAAATTCTTCTATTTAAGTGTTTTTGCCTTTAAGAATCATGCTATTATGATCCACTGGAATGCAATACATTGACAACTGCCAGAAAGCTGAAAAAACTACAAAGAAAATTCAGGGGAGAAGATTCTTGCACAGTAGAAGTATGGTGACAGATTAGGAAAAAATGATCAAATAACATTTGCAGCTGTTTGACGGAAGGCCATTATGCATTTAGCTCAAGTCCTTTGATGTTAACCTGGGTTATTTCTTAATGGTTGTTTTGCTGATGAGAAGCAATGATGGTGCTATTCCTATCAGACCTGAAAAGCTTTCAGTAAATGATGGTGTAATCTTCAAGTATGGAGAAACAACAAAAAAAACCCCCTTATTTGTAAGTAGAAAACAAACAGAAAAGCACCTAACATCTTTATAAGTAAAAATCAAACCACTTTTGAGCCTTAAAAACTAAAACTAATCTAATCACGTCAGAGGAACTGTAAATGTGTGCTGTATTTCAGTCAATATGACTGATTACCTGTCACTTAGCTCTGATTTCTTCCTGCTGTGCACTTTGGAACCATCTTTGTTTTAGAAACTAAGAGGCAGCGTGTATGAATTGTTAGCTCACCTCTAACATTTTCCTGAATGATTTTGGGGCCAAGTAATTAGCCCTGTCAGTTATTTCAGCTTAAAAGCTTTCAACAGCATCATCACTCATTTATTTTTATCATCCTCACTGATGCCGCTCAACATGAAACAAAAAGACCTGCCTAAGAAATATTTATTACTACCAGCTTTCCTATACATGAAAATATCCCAACTTGCATGCAATATATGTGACTAAAATCAGCAAAGGAGGGAGCTAGTTGCAGAGTCCAGTTTTGTACTGCAGTTTGAGGAAAGTGAGGGCTTTCTCCTTTGGTACATACTGAAAGACAGGAACAAACTTAGAAAACAGATTTAAAATAGATTTATGTAAGTAGAAGAAAGATTTTTGTTGGCAGAGAAGTCACATCAACAATATTTGACAGAACTATTTGCACAGCGTAACCAGCTGCTGCAAAAGTTTGTCTGAGGTGCTTGTTCCATCATTCCTGGAAGCTGAAGAGAACAAGGTTTTCAGGACCTTTGGGAGTAAAAGGCTATTACTCAGACCTGTTTCAATATACCTCTAGAGCAAATGGAGGTAGTAATGTATACAGGCAAACTGGACAATAAAAAATGAATAATGCTAAACTGTCATAGCAAGTCCACAGCAAGAAGGAATATCTGCTGGAAACAGAAAAATAAAATCTACAAAACTGTCTTTCTATCCCATCTGATGTATAGTTCATATTGATCATTTCAAATGTCCTCCCTACAGAGACTGAGCCTGTCTGAATTCAAGAAGTGTTTGGACAACACTTTCAGGCACATGGTTTTCAGGGTGTCTTGTGCAGGGTCAGGAGTTGTAGTCAGTGCTCCTGATGGGTCCCTTCCAGCTCAACATATTCTATGATTCTAGGATTCTATTATTTGAGGGAGGGGAAGAAAGGAATGAGGGTGGTTTCATGCTATATACTATATTCTCTTGACGTTTTTCTGCAAGCTAGCAGCAATATACATTATTCGTTTTCATTTATTTTATTCTGAAAGCAAGTTGTCACAGTAGAACAGCTTCCATGTGCTGTGAAGATAATATTACAGGAGGACAATGGCACTGTAATTACATACTACATCTTCAGAAATCCGACTCTTGCAGGGTTGAAGACTGCTTCAGAGTTCAAATTAGTCTGAATGACCCCATCTTTATTGCTGTTGAATTTCTGGAAATGATTAAATTCCAGGTCACTGAAAATAACTGATAAAAGCCTAAAAAAGAGAAATTAGTAATTTAGTCTTTTTTGACTTTATTTAAGTTCTATATGCTTTTCAGCCAGGTACAATATTTTATAGGGAAATTTTTGTTTTAATGAATCTGAGTGATCTTCAGGTCAGTAAAAATAGATCAATTTGTCAAAGATGGAAAAATCTATGACCATAGGTTCTTACATTTCATTTTCACTAAATTTGTGAATGTAAACAGCAATTGCTTCAGCAATGGCTTCTGTTTTCCGATATAAATGCCTGTAAAAGATCCTGACATCAGGGCTGGGACTATGTTATGGAAGCTTAATATAAGATTCAAATGTAGGTAAAGGACTTTTTGGTCTCTTTTTTGCATAACTTGCATAACAGAGACCCAGTAATACACGTGTTTGTAAATGACATTACATAATAGGATGATTTGTGATTGTATCATGAATACCATGTTGAAATTTTATTCTATACTCAGAATCACTGAAGTACAGCTAAGAAATAGCTGAGACTATCTTGTCATGACACCATTTTGTGTCATAATAATCCTTTCCTGCTGTTTGAAGAACACTAAGAAGTACAGCTTCTTTTAGGGTGTTCTCTTGGAAAGAAAAGTAGCAAAATGATAATTGCTCAATGTTTAGTAGCTCAGTCAAAGGGTAATAGAAACCTGCACACTATGATGTCCAGAAGTTAATACAGGCACAAGATTACTTTACTTATGGGGATTTTCTCTAAAAAAAAAAGGCAAATTTTGCTTTCTGGTATACTTTGCATACTGACGGGCAGAGGGGGAAAGCAAACAAAGGACATCTTTTCAGCGACAATCGAGCAGACAATTTTATAGGTATCATAGCCTGCATGACTAGCTCACAAAACACTGAGCTTTTTCCTAATCCAGCAGTGCTAATGTCATTTCTTCGTCACCTGAAAAGACTGTAAAGCTGAAAAAGCTGACGCAGCATGCGTTGTAAGGAGATAAAGACAGGGAGCAGCATCTGCTGTTTAATTCAGCAGCTGAATGCAAAAGTCATTTATCCTGCTGTTACACAATATACAGCTTCTCAGAGCCTCATTTTGTGATGTGCGGCTGAACCACTGCCGGGTGGAAATCTCTGAGACATCCCCCTGTGCCTCCCAGTGGTCACAGTTTCCTGTCCTGCAATTCTGCTGAAAAAGAGGTGCAAATTTCCTCCCACGTGTTACATGCAGCAGAACCGAGCAGGCCACTGCGGATGCTTTCTGCAGGGGCTGCTCTGCGAGAGCTGTGGAGCACTGACCCAGGGAAACAAAATGGACCAAGGGAAATAAAATGATGGGGCTAGCTTTGTTGAGGGACAGGATGAAGTGAATCAAATGTCCTGGGCTCAAAACCAGCTCCAAAAGTAGCTGGCAGTTTTGGCAGCAGAGACTGCTACCTGAAGAAAGGTGAGCTCTGCCTGCCCACTGTAAATACTGGCTATGGGCTATGGAGGTGTTCACTGGCAGCTGGGCCAAGTAACAGCTCCAGAGAGAGGTGCAGCTAAACGAGGAATAAATATGGGCACTTCAGGAGCAGTGAAATAAATCAGGGCACCATGTTACAAGCCCAGACCTGCTGCTACTGCTGTTGCTATAACCAAGGTTGCCTCAAAGTACTTTGAACTTTTTCATTTAGCTCTATTAACTGTTATGTCTAGCATTTTCCAACAGAGCTGTTCCCCTGAATGAAACTATTTTCTCCTCGCATGTCAGTAGCAATACTTATTTTAAAATTGTTCAACTTTTTTTTTCTTTTTCTTTTTTTAATCATAACTTTTAGTAAATAATCTGTAAGTAAAGGTGTTCTAAGCTAAAAATTGTTTAGCTCTGAAATTTTAATAAGAGTACCCTCTGGTGGCTCATGTATGAACTACATCTCTTCCAAAAGAAGTTGTACATTCATTTATAATGCTGAATTTTAAAGAAATGGGTGGAAACTTTTTTCCACTGAATTCTTCCTTCCAATCAATGTGAAAGTTATAAATATATTTGCTACAAAACCAAACCAAACCAAAACAAAAACAAAGGAACAAAATACACCAAACCAAAAACAACCAAAACCAAACAAAAAACCCCTCCAAAAAAAAAAGGAGGAAAGTGCTTGCAAACACGTACTATCTGTAAGTACAATTTAATTCAAAAGAGAATCAATCACTTGTGAAAAATTAAAGATAGAAATATAGATAGCTATCTCAAGAGATATTGATGCTAAGGCCTTTACAGTTACAATGGACAAAATCTAGATTCTAGAGGAAGTCAATCGATAAAATTGGAATATCTTTTTCACAACTTTTGTTATTTTCATCTCCTAATTTTAATTAGATTATTTAAGTCTTTTTATTTTGCACAGGCTTCATTATTTTAATCAGAAATACCTGTGTAAATTACCAAGAAATCACAAGAATGACTGTCTACCACTTTGTCACAGGTATCTTCCATTTAAAAGTACCTGAGACCTCTCATGTTGGTTCTGCTATTGGACGGATCAGAGCTGTGGACCCTGATTCTGGGAAAAATGCAGAAATTGAGTACAACATAGTTCCAGGAGATGGAGGAAACTTGTTTGACATCACGACAGATGAGTACACCCAGGAAGGAGTCATTAAACTGAAAAAGGTATGTGGCACCAATGGGTGGATGTGCCTATGACTCAGGTGGTAAACTAGGCAAGGGAATGAAATGTTTTGCAATTTTATGTCATAAGTAGCTCACAGCAGTAGTGCTACATATGTAGTTTATATCTCTATTTTAATCCACAGTTGTGATCTTCATTTTAAATGGCATTGAAGTTTAGTCTTTAATTTCACATACAATCTGGTATGATGTTTCATAAATAATGTCATGGTGAAGAAGTAATCTTAATCTCTATCTAGAAAGTACAATTTCTCTTTTATGGGAAGTTTTCTACCTGAAATCATACAAAACAAACAAACAAACAAAAACAAACAAAAAACAAACAAACAAAAAACCAAAACAAACAAAAAAAACCAACCAACACAAAACATTTTAGTTCAGAGCACAGAATGAAAGAGTTATATTTTATGTTAGATAAAATGTAATAAATTTTTACTTATAATCATTTTATTTTGAAATTTTTGACTTTGTGTTTGCTATTTTAATAATGAGTATTGTAAAGTACTATGGTGGACACAGTTTTTATTCAGGGTAGAAGAGTCACAAATGGTTGCAAATAACCATGTCCTGCTTCCAGTCTCGTAATAGGGTACCAAGTTATTAGATACTAATGCAGGGAAACACTACATCTCAGTCATTGATGTTGATTTAGTGCAATAGAATAAGCTCAAGATTCCTGAATTTATGAATTTCAAAAATGGAAAGGGTGCATTTATTTAGAATTTAGTGATTAAAGCACTCAGTAGGAAAAATCCAAAACAGGGATTTTGGACACATTATAACCAGTTATTATTTTCTGAGCCCAGACATTTATATATACACCAATGATCAACTTGTTCAGCAGAAAGAAATCCTAACCACAGGTCATTTTGGAAGGCATAGTTATGTTTTATAGACATCTCAGGCTAGTAGGTGCAAATTTTGTAAAAATCCAAACTATTAGCTGAATACTTCACAAGGGTCTGGGAAAGAAAATGTTCTGAACATGTATATTAAGATAAGCTTTAGGAAAAGTGAAGCTTTAATCCTAAGAAAATTTAGAATGTAGATGCTTAAATTCCCTCGGCTCTGACCATAGATCTATACTTGTATTATATTAATTCTAATAATGGAAGTGCTGGCTTCAATTTCCTGACCTGGGAAAGAGTAAATTATCCATGGGTACATTAAAGGACAAGATGATGTCAAGTCACTGACTCTTTTGTTAGTTTTAATGACATAAAATGGAAGCCACCATACTCACAGGAAGTAATTTGTCAATGAAACAGAAACTCTTTGACCTCTGTAACCCCCCCTTCTTTTCTGACTAAAGGCTTGAGTGTTCTCTTTCCTCTTAATGGGAATTTGTAGACTTTGTTTCATTTTTAAAACCCTTCTGGTCACCTTTTTCCCTCCATGCAGATGACTCAAAAATGGGTCCATCTGGAGCTGTCAGACAGAGCAGCTGCATGCCCCTCCATATGCACTGCCAGTAAGAAATTGCAGTAAGTAGAAACCATTAAAAAATTAATATTTGATAATCAAGATCAGGTTTTTGTTAGAATCCAGTTCTCATTGCATTAGTCCTAAGCTTCCTCTGTGCTTCTTGTTTTAAGACACACAGAAATAGAATTTTCCACACTTGTGGTTAAGTGTATGTATTACCCAATGCTGGTTGTCCAAGTTGGCAATGATGATGTTCATAAGAAGGGTGCCAGGGTAATTAAAAAGGACTTCAAAGCTCTGGGTCTATTGGTTGATGGGACAGGAGTGCAGGCAGTGCTCTTCTCAGTTCCTTCTGTAGCAGAGATGAATGATGAAAGGAACAGGAAAACCCATGTTATCAATAAGTGGTTTAAGGGCTGGTGTTATGAGAACAATTTTGAGTTTTTTGATCATAAGACAATTTTTACAGCACCGGGCCTGCTAGAGTCAGACGGGCTCCATCTAAAAAGGGCAAAAGGATTCTAGCCCATGAATTGCCAGGGCTGACTGGGAGGCCTTTAAACTAGATTTGAAGGGGCAAGAGGATGAAATCAGGCTCTCCAGAGATGAGCCTAAGGGTGGTAAGCCGGAGTCTGGGGTGAAATCAGCCCAGCTGAGGTGCATGTACACTAATGTACCCAGCATGGGCAACAAACAAGAGGAGCTGGAAGCTGTGGTACAGAAGGAAAGCTATGACACAGCAGCCATCACAGAAACATGGTGGGATGCCTCCCATGACTTAGAGTGCTTCAATGGATGGTCACAGGCTTTTTAAAGGGATGGGTGAGGAAGGAGAGGTGGTGGGGTGGCTCTGTACATTGGGGAGTCTCTTGACATGACAGAATTTGAGGTCGATGGTGATGAGGTTGGGTGCCTACAGGTAAGGATCAGGGGGAAGGCCAACAAGGCAGACATCTTAGTGGGAGTCTGTTATAGACCACCCAACCAGGATGAAGAGGTGGATATATTATTCCATAAGCAGCTGGAGGACGTTTCAAGATCACTAGCCAGAGGTGAGGCTCCATTAGCCCTTCTGTTTACAGACAGGAAAGGATTGGTGGGAGATGTGGTGGTCAGAGGCTGTCTGGGATACAGTGATCATAAAATATTAGTTTTCAATGGTGAAACAAAGACAGGCATCAACAAAACTTCTACTGGACTTCTGGAAAGCAAACTTCAGCTTATTTAGGATGGTGATCAGAGAGTACCTTAGGAAGCAGCCCTTAAAAAAAAAAAATAGGTCCAGGAAGAATAGACCTCAAGAATGAAATCATACTTCAAGAAAGAAATCTTGAAGATGCAGGAGCAGGCTATCCTTTTGTGTCAAAAGATGAGTCAGTATAAAAAGACAATTGACCTGTCTGGGCAGAGAGCTTTTGAAGAAACTAAGGAGAAAAAAAGAGGATATATCATCTGGGAAAGGGGGCAAGCAACTCAGAAAATGTTTAGGGATGTCATTAGGGGATGCAGAAAGAAAATTAGAGTGGTGAAAGAAAAAATAAAATTGACACAATCACTTCTATATCCAGATACTTTAGAATTGGCCATTGCATTTAGTCTTTCCAGCAACAAGATAGGGCATAAACTGAACTAGGGAGCTTTCACAACAGCAGAACTTTGACCAATGTTGCCTAATGAAAATGATAGATCTCTGTCACTGAATATGGGGTCACTAATCCCTTCCTAAACTTCATCACAGTGAGAGGGCACAGTTAGAGAATGTGAAGATCAAGAAATACCAGTTCTTTTCTATGTAGGAATGTGGAAAGAAGATAAACCACACACATAAGGGCTTCAGCAAAGTATTCCTTTATACTGACCCTACACTTTGTTTTTCACAAAACTTTTCTCAGGGAAAAGATCCCTTTCACAAAACTTTAAATCATCCAGGTATTTTAAGACATTTTAGAATCATCCAAAATCCATCCACTTAGGTTCTTTGCTAGATCCCAGGTTAAGAAAGAGCGAGATGGATTTTTAAAGATATTGTTCACTCAGCTGTCTTTTTATATCTTTACACTTATAGTAATATAAATGTGTTTTCATGGGTTACAGTCTTCATATTACAGAAGTGCTGGACACTCACAATTCTATAGACATCTATCAAAATGCATACTACTTGTACAGTACAAGCCTACAACAAGATTATTCATTTGCCTTCAGAGAAGGAATTTTACACTGAAAGATGTTCAAAATACTGATTTGACCTTGTGGGATTATGCAAAATTTAGTATATATTGAAGTCTTTTTTAAAATGAAAATGAGTGAATGAATAAGACTGACACATTAATTAAGAATTATAAATAATAAACAGTGAAAGCCACTAATGAAAAGTGGTATATGCTTTAAAAACAGGTTTCTTTCTTCTCTATTATAGCATATTCTGGTGCTGTAAGTGCTGCAGTAATTCAGTGCTGAGCCACTTCAAAACCATTTATAAAATTTGCTTTAATTTTTCCTGGAAAATTTCTTGCAGCCAGAAACTGTCCATCACTGCATAGACGTTTTTTGGTCTGTTATTATGCAGAAAAAACATTGAGAGATTTCTATACCAAAATTGATAAAAAATGAAGCCTTCCTGGACTACCTTTATTTTGGTGGAAAATGCATTTGATGAGAAAAAAAATGCACAGGCTAAACTGTTCCTTTTAGCACACTCAGTGTGTTGATGGATGCAGAAGGCCATTCTCTGCTTCGGGGATGCTAAATGGGTAAGAACAGCTACAGCTGGACAAGTTGCAGACCTTAAATCATCTGTTTTGGTTACTCATTTATTTTTGTGCTAAGATCCTATATAAGTCTGATTACTACTACTTTTGTGCTAATTACATATATTAAAAATTAAACAGCTTTTCTTATATTCTGCTAGATAAATCATCCAAATGCTATCTTTCACCACTGTGTGGTTAGTACTTTAATATTATTTTTTCTCTCTAAATAAAAGATAAAGGAAAATAGTATCCCTCAAAAAAGGGGGAAAACTTGTCTTCAGGGTAGTGCTGTATACAGTTATCTGTAGGAGTCAGAAATATTATTATAGAATAGAATATAGTTAGGTATAGAATTATAATTTCCTCCATTTTCTAGTGTTGTTTAACACAGTGTTTATTGCATTTGGTATTTAGATAGCATCTTCTATTGTACCCGAATCTTCAGCAATCTAGAGTGGGTGTAAGGTATAAGACAAATGGTAACAGAAGGGGCCAACTCCTTCATGCCAGAGCATAGTGGCCTCAGATGTGTCAGGAAAGGGACTGGTTTCAAAATCTTGAATAACCAGGTATAACAGTAATGAAAAATAGAAAAAAAATTTTTCTATTAAACCAAGGATGGGTTTATATGTTAAGTCCATTTTGTGCAGAAGCCTTTTAATTGGCTCAGCATGTGCTCATCCAGAAACTGAGTAGGGTTCAGGCACTGAACTTGTTCTGCTTGAAGACATCACTTTACTAATTTGTGCAGTGTTTCATTAAAACCTTGGAACAAAAATGTTTCTAGGCTTCACCTGTTGTGTTCCT